TTCCGGCTCCTACCCAGATAGGGGGTCTGTGTGCCCATGACTCGCACCAAAACGCCCTACCTACCTACCTATTGCGGGCGCCGACCGCCAGGCTCCGTCCGTGCCCCACCTACCTACCTATTCCCAGGCCGCGCAGCGAAGCGAAAAAATACCCGTTAGCCCTCTGTGAATAGGCTCCCAGCCGGCTTGTACCGCGGTGCGCGCCGCTCGCGAGCCCGCCAGAGCATGGCCTACACACACACACACACACTCCACATGGCCTACCTACCTATTGCATCGGGCCTAACCGTGGGGAACAGACCCCCTATCTGGGTAGGAGCCGGAACCCAGGGTGGTGGCGATGAGAAGTGGCATTTTTCTTCTTCCTGGCTCCTCACCTGTTCTTCACCTTCCTACCTAACCTAACAAGAGAGACCCGCCCCTGTCGGGCACCGCTTGCGGCGCCTGGCAGGGGCACCCCCTCCCTGGGTGGGGGCCGGCGATTCCCATGCCGGCTCTCCGCCACAACCCCCGCCGGGAGGGAATCCCTGCTCACAGAAAAGGGCTTCGAGCCCTGTCTCGCGCACGCCCCTGGCGGGCGCCGCGGACCAGTTCCGTGAGCGCTCGTCAGCGGGTGGTGTGCGGTTCTTGCCGTAGTTCCTCTTCGGTCGCCTAGCCCCGGCGCCGTCTGTCGGACGCCTGCGTGTCACGAGTGCGAGCCGCTCGCGGTTCGTACGCCCGCTTGCGGGTTCGAGTGGCGGGCCATCCCGCTTGCGGGATGGCTTAGCGGGTTCGAGCCGTCACACATTGGCTGCCGGGGTGTGCCGAGGGGGGGCTGGGTGGGCGGTAAGCCGTCACTGCCCGGCGCTGCTTGCAGCGCTCTGGGTGGTAGTGGCGGCGCTCCAAGAGTGGTGCTCTTGGGAAGAGGTTCCTCCTTTCCGCTCCCCCCCCCGCAAGGCGCGAGACACACCAGAGAAAGCGGATACAACAAGAACCCATGACGAGCGATCCCACGACAGCGAGTGTGGGGACTACATGATCCGTACGTGAAGGGTGGTGGGGCCCGGCGGCAAACGGCCTCCAAGAGACCTCGAGCTGCTCGATCGGCCGCCGGCGCTCCTCCCAGAGACCTCGCGACAGAGCGGGTCTGATCAAGGTCACCGGCACCATGCTTCTTGCCTCGTTGTTGCACGGCACACTTCTACTGAGCGCGGTCGCAGCGCAGTGCCCACGCTCGTGTCGGAACGCCCAGTGCGGCCCGCCGACGTGCGGTAGCCACTGCTGCGAGTACTGGCGCCACAAGGGCCCTAGCGACGACGAGACGCCATTTCTCCGTCGCCACACCCGGCTGCTGCGCAAGTACAACATCACAGAGGTCTCGCTTCAGAACAGCGACGACGAGGTGCGCGCTTGGGCAGAGGCTCGAATGCAGCGCTTCCTGCCGATGCGACCCATCAGCGCACCGGCTTCATGTCGAAAGTCGGGTCCCAGGGCCAACGACTGGCTGATTTGTGAGCTGACCTCGCCGTGTGTGGTCTTCTCCATCGGCATCGGAGGCGAGTGGACCTTCGACGTTGCCGCGGCGAAGGCGGGCTGCGAGGTCCACTCGTTCGACCCTACTCTAGAGTTGCTCGGCCGACACAGA